GGCTCTCGGTTGTTGGTGCCTCCCCCGTCCCTCGTCCTGGGCCGTCCACTTGGGTGGAGTATGCGCACAACACCCTTGTCTCTTCGGCCACAGACCGGTCGCCCTTCATGTCTGCTTACGGCTATCAGCCGCCACTGTTCCCGTCCCAGGAGGGACAGGTGGAGGTTCCGTCGGTGCAGTGCCATCTGAAGCGAGCCCATCACGTGTGGAGGGAGACCAGGGCCGCCTTGTCCCGCACGGCGTCCAGAAACCGGCGGATTGTGGACCGTCGTCGTCGCCCGGCACCGTCCTATGAGATAGGGCAGGAGGTGTGGCTGGCTACGAGGGACCTGCGTCTGGCCGGCGTGTCGACCAAGTTGGGGCCACGCTTTACTGGAACGGGTGATCTTGGACTCTCGGCGCAGGGGTAAGGGGTTCCAGTACCTGGTCGACTGGGAAGGCTATGGGCCGGAGGATCGGCAATGGGTCCCCCGCTCCTGGATCTTGGATCCGTCCCTTCTGAGTGACTTCCACGCTTCTCACCCTTCCAAACCGGGTGGGCCGCCAGGGGGCGTCCGTTGAGGGGGGGGGGTACTGTCATGTCCCATTTTCGACAGCAGGTGAAAACGGTGCTTTCTGGCCGGCTGCACACCTGCTACCTATTTGTTATTAAGCACTGGCTTTATTAGGGCTGTCTTTCTGACTCTCACTCGCCGGCGAATTGCTTGCCGTGCCACTGCTTTGCCCATTGTGTCGGTTCTTTGCCTTTTCGTATTTTTAGTACGCGGGTTAGATTTGGTTTAGTCATTTCGGTGTGTGTTAAATAGTGACAAGTTTGTTTTTTCCCCCTTGCCTTAGTGCGAGCGTTTTTTGTTACTCGGTTTTTGCGTGTTTTCCTGGTACTCGTTTTTTGCCAGCGTTTTCTGTTGTCTCGTTTTTGCGGTGCGGTTTTTGTTAATAAATCTTATTTTCATACGGAGTTCTTGTTGTTGTCTGCTGTTTCGGGAATCCTATAGATCAATTTTGGTTGCGAATGAAGCGGGTTCCTTTCCGCTTCCCTCGCAACGTGACAGCTTCAAGGTGTAAAGGACCACACTGTTGCCGGTTAGGCCCAAGATGAAGATGAACATGAGGAGCACCGGAATGAGCGATGGGCATGCCGTCCACTCGGAGATGTCGCACA